TTTCGGTCACACTGAAACTCACTTTTGCGAGCGCTGAGCGCGTCTTGGATTGCAGACAGAGCTTAGCTCAAGGACCGCGCCGCACTGTACAGGCACCAAGACACGAAGGCAGCTTCGTAAGCGAAGGGGCGGCATGAGCAGCCCACTCAAAGGCGGGTTGCCTCCAAAATTCCTCTGAAATCCGACCCCCTGAAACCCTAAAAGCCAAAAACCCTAAAACTCCAAACCTCTGAAACCCTGAGACCATGAAACTGTGGACCCTAACTCCCCCCAAGACAAAACAAAAGCCATCAAAACAAGCAAACAAACCCTAAACCCTAAACCCTAAACCTTAAACACCCCTAAACCCTAAACCCTAGACCCTCGACCCTAAACAACAAGACCAAGCCCAGGTACCCGCCCCATCGCATCTCCCGCTCGACCTCTCTGTGTCCATTCGGGCGCTTCGCGCCGGCAACACAATCGAGATCGGCGTTTAGGGTTTAGGGTTTAGGGTTCAGGGTTTAGGGTTTAGGGTTGAGGGTTTAGGGTTTAGGGTTTAGGGTTCAGCATCTCAAGTCCAAGCATTCACTAGTCAAGAAATTATTACTCCAGAAAAATACCCACCCGCCCGAAGAATCTCACAACATTAAGAAAATATTTCACTTATGGAACGACCTTGCCCAGTAAAAAAAAATGACCTTGCCCAATAAAAAAATGACCTTGCCCAGTAAAAAAATAGCCTTGCCCAGTAAAAAAGATGACCTTGCCCAGTAAAAAATGACCTTGCCCAGTTAAAAAATGACCTTGCCCAGTAAAAAACTAACCTTGCTCAGTAAAAAAATGACCTTGCCCAGTAAAAAAAGACCTTGCCCAGTAAAAAAATGATCTTGCCCAATAAAAAAATGACCTTGCCCAGTAATGACCTTGCCCAGCAAAAAAATGACCTTGCCCAGTAAAAAAATGACCTTGCCCAGTAAAAAAAAATGACCTTGCCCAGTAAGAAAATGACCTTGCCCAGTAAAAAGACGACCTTGCCCAGTAAAAAAATGACCTTGCCCAGTAAAAAAATGACCTTGCCCAGTAAAAAAATGACCTTGCCCAGTAACTCCTTAACATTTAAATTATATATTAGGGTTTAGGGTTTAGGGTTTAGGGTTTAGGGTTTAGGGTTTAGGGTTTAGGGTTTAGGGTTTAGGGTTTAGGGTTTAGGGTTCAGGGCTCACCCCAAGGCCGAGTAGTCCATGGCCAGGCCCAGTGCGGTGTCCTTCGCCTTTTGGGTTTAGGGTTTAGGGTTGAGGGTTTCTAGGGGTTTGGGGTTTAGGGTTTAGGGTTTGGGGTTTAAGTAGGTAAATTGCAGTGGGCTCGGCTTGATCGGCTTTGGGCGATTAGGATTTTGGAGTTTGGGGCTTCGGGTGTAGGGCGGGTGTTCAGGAGGCGATTCATGTAGAATTGAGGTGTGATGTTCGGAGCTTCGAAAGGCTTGGGGTGAGTCCGCCGCACACGTGCCCGAACGCGTGCGGCAGTTCTTCAGGTCGAAGAAACTGCGGTTTAGGGTTTAGTTAGGGTTTAGAGGTTAGGGTTTAGGGTTCTGTGCGCTTTTGCTGCATAGCACTCTTCGGCGCCAACTCAAAAGAGGAACTGCGAACCAGCTTGGCAATGTCAGCATAGTGGGAGTGTGGTCCTAGGATTCCTCTAGAGGCGGTGTGGTCGGGGAAGTACCACTGGCTCATGACTTCTGTCCAGTATGGGAACTGCATACCTCTACGTCCCGGTTCAGGATTCTATCTTTGGGTCTCGTAATGACTTGTAATCTTGTCATTGAAGACCTGGAGCTGCGAAGCTACAACTGTACCCTGGTCGAGCAAAAGGTAAGCATTACAGTACCTACCGAGATTCACCCGATCAAGAAGGGTTTCGCCCTGATAGTCACTGTTCGCAACCAAGGCATTCACTGGGAACGCCGCGGCAGTCACCTTCGCCGTGACGGGCATGGAGTCGAGACTCTGCATCTGGAAGTTGCCTGGATCATCTGTGGTGATCTGGTTTCCTGCAGGAATGAACCCGAGAAGTGTCACGGATGGATCAAGCGATGTCGTGACGGAATCGAGTGCCTTCATCTCGTAGCACGCGGCTTTGCCTTTGTAATCTTGCAAGGCGGCTCCGACAATCTTGTCCATAGGGCTTAGGGTTTTTTTTTTAGGGCTGCCATGCGCTTCCAACATACTTGCTGTACATAGGGAAAATACTCGGCGCGCGCGTTGGCGCAGTGCGTAAGAGGTCGCCAAACCGTGTGTCTTTGGATATTAAATGTTTTAGGCCCAGGAAGTCCCTTCGGGCTTCTGGGTCTGCGGCGGAGTGGTGGTTATAAAACCTTACTGCTTCCGTGGAAACTAGTTCAAACCAATATCTACAGGGGTGTCCTCTTGTGCGGGCCTTAGTAAATCTGATTCGGTCCTTGTATCCGGGAGAGAACACTACATGGTGAATGGGGTCCTGGGGGCTTGCTAATATAGAGCTCTGGAGTAATCCAAATTGTTGCGCCAGCAGTGTTTGGGAGGGCAAACATGGCTTGCCTGCAATTTTCCAAACCTTCTGGTTGGATATGTGTGAGTAGTACGAGGATTTGATTTTAATGGAGCGTCTAAGATACCTATGGTACCAGGCGTCGATTTTTTTGAAGGAGTGGGTTTCTAGTGTGAGGACATCCAGGGAGTATAGCAGGACAGGAACAAAGCAGCTATGGAAGATGTGGGTTTTTACTTTAATGGGTAGTTTACTTTGCCATATGTGTTGGAGCTTCATGAATGAGGAGTGAGCTAGTTCCATTCTATGCTGAATGGCGATTTTTGGCGGAGTAGTCCAGCTGATCCTAGAGCCCAAATATTTAACCTGATCGCTGACAGGCACTGGAGTGCCATCGGCAAAGCTGATGTCTGCCTGTGCGCTGGGGTGGCGGAGTAGTTCGGTTTTCGTGTAATTGAGTTGTAATCCATATAAAGATGCTTCTACCTGTACGCATGCCAAAAATGATTCGAGCTGTGGTGCCGTGACTGCCATTAGAAGAGTATCATCTGCGTATTCTAGATCATAAATGGGCTTGCCTATTGACCAAGTGGTTTGCGGTGTACCCTCACTCCTAAGCCGAGCGTCGATGTCGTGGAACAATACTGTCATGATCATGATGAACAAGTAAGGGCTGAGTGGACAGCCCTGTCGTATGCCACTTTTAGGCGTGCCCCAACTTTTCTCTTGAGAGAATCCTTGAGTGCAAAATTGGGGGTCGGTGTAGAGGTCTGTTATGATTTCAATGTAAGTGGGGTGCACTCCTAATCTTTTAAGGGCGACCATCATGGCGGGGTGGCTAACTTTGTCGAACGCTTGCTTCCAATCTAAAAAGAGAAGTTGGAAAGGCTGACCTGTTTTGGCGGAGTAATCTTGGAGCCTGCGCAGGATAAACAATGGCTGTTTTGTACTTCTTTTTGCACGGAAGCCAGACTGGGTGGAGCGCAGTTGTGCGTCGTGTTTAGTGGCTAGTCTTTTTTGCAGCATGGCGGAGTAGATTTTGTAAAACGTGTTTAGAAGGGAGATCGGCCTGTAATTGGAGGGGTCTGAGTCTGATCCCTTTCCCTTGTAGATGCTTACCACGAGCGCGTCTTTCCATGAAGAGGGGACCTTCCTGGCTCTGAGGCAAGCGTTCATAAGGCGGAGTAGCTGGGTTTCACCGTAGTGGTCGAGGAGTAATATTATTTCTCCCTTTACGCCGTCTAGGCCTGGGGCCCTGCCTTTTCTTATACCCTGGATGGCAGCGTAGAGTTCTTCATGTTGAAAGGGAAGGGGGTCAAGTTCGTCGGTTTTGTAAAGCGGGGGGGAAGAGCGGAGTAGTTCGATTTCCTCCTCGGTGACGTCCGGTGGGGACCACTGGTTGTTCTGGAGGTGATCTCTAAAGATTTTGTGGGTGTTCGTCCATGGGACTGGTGTGCCTGAAACTTTTAGTCTGGTTCTCCTAGCTCTAAAACCTTTTTTGAAGCTCTGGACTTGTTTCCAGATTTTGGTGTGTGACGGGTTGGGGTCAGTAAGCAACGGCTCGCGTGTCCAATCCCTTTTCATTTTACGGGCCTGTTTTTTAAGGAGTTTGTGTTTTTTGATATGGGCGGAGTGGTCAATGGATTTTAGGTGCCTAACTTCATGGAACTGTTGTAGTAGTTCCTGCGTCATCCAGGGCTGCTTGGGCTTGCGTTTCAGTAGTGGTATGTGTTGCGACTCAGCTTTGTGCAGAGCTCGTACTAATGTGGAATTGAGGCGTTCCAACGCGGAGTGGTCAGTAGATTGTACTGGTTCAATGAACTCCGAGGGGGTGAGAAGAGGGGTGATGTCGTGCCTACCTCCCACTGGATCAGGTATTTGTTTTCCTTCTTCTGCTAACCTGTCCGCTATTTCATTAAAGTGGTCTCCTGAATGGCCTTTGACCCAAAACCAATCTACTGTGGTGCGGTTTTGCAACTCTGCCAATAAGATACGTGCATGTTTAATCATGGTTTTGTGTCTTTTAGCCTTAGATCTACCCCTTACAGCGTCTGACATCCAACGACTGTCGTAGTAGAAGGAAATTTGTTTAGGCGGAGTGGTCAATGTTAGTATGTACAATGCCGCTTCCATCCAGGCGCTTAGCTCTCCTGTATTATTACTGCCTACTGTCGCTCCTAGGTGAACTGCTGCATGTGGATCAGTGCTGACTGGACCTTTTGAGGTAATTGAATCTTGATTGGTTGTTATGATTGTGTAGCCCCAGCCTGCGGGAGTAGTGGCCGAGCAACGGCCTTTGCTTCCCGACCCATCCGTGTATACCGCCCAATTGGCGTCAGTTGTGTTGAGATTGGGTATTGATTTGTGTTTGGTACATTTTTTAAACGTGTGATTGAACAGGGTTTTAGCGGAGTAGTCTATGGCGGAGTAATCTCTTGCAGGAGGTTTGATTGTGGAGGGTGGTTGGGCTTTGAGTTTAACCCGAATGACTGATTCTAGAAGATAATGGTCACTAACAAATCCTGTGCTATGAACTGCTTGGCATTGTTGAACCGTAGGTAACCATTTGGATCTGGTGACCAAACGGTCCAGTGCCTGGAATCTGTGCGGGTCGATGGTTGGTCGTTGTTGTTCGGGCACTAAGGCGGAGTAGCAAGTGAGGTAATCCCTGACTTTCCCTGCGACCTTTAGGTTCTCATTTTCTGACTGGGGCAAGCTTTGAAATCTATCCCAAATTGGTAGCCATCCTATGGGGTCACTAGAGAACGTGAGCCAATCTAATGGGGGAGGGGATTTATCTCGGTATGTGATGTGCTTCAGAAGGTTACTCTGCTTGTAGGTTAGTACATCCTTAGCTTCAGAGGTACTCAGGAATCTCAGATAGAGCTCTCTGTTGTTACCTTCTGTGGTTGGTATACTGAGTCTTCCCTTACCATATACATTGGGCCCAACATGTGATGTTCATCTGGTTTTCTACCTTGTAGTCTAACATTGAAGTCCCCTATGATATAAACCGGCTCTGGTTGAGGAATTTTGTGCAATACTGAGTCTAGCTTATCCCAGAAGGGGAGCTTGCTAGTTTCAACATCTCGTTTATTGTGTGGGGAGTAGACTCCTATGAGGTGAACATCTCCGGCCGATGCTGCTAGTGTGATTTGAAGGATCCTCGCACTATGCTGAACTACATCTTTGAGGTGTGGTAGAGTTTGGGGGGGAATGATTGCTGTCACTCCTGCGAACTTGTCCTTGTTACTGCCATTGCTAATGAACCTGTGCCCCTCTGAGGTGAATTGGTGGTATGTTGTGTTGCGTGTTTCGGTGAGGAAAAGGACGTCAAGCTTTCTACTACTGAGTAAAGTGAGGACTGACTGGTGTTTTAGTATTTCGGCCATTCCCTGTACGTTTTGTGTACCTATTTTAAAAGGTTGTCCATACGGCAAGGGTGGTGGGGCTACTGCTGGCGGAGTAGCCTTTTTTTGCTTGCCGATTTGTTCAGGCCTTAGTATGAGGGTTTTGAAAAGGTACGAATTTCGTACCCCGGTTTGGCGCCTACTTTTGACTGCTTTCAAGGGCACCCCCCCTTTTACCAGTGCGCTGCCCGACGCTTCTGGTAATATAGGCCCACCCACGCTCCTGCGCCAACGGCGGAAAAGCTGCCGTCGAAGGCGTCTAGAGCGGGCACCCAAACCTAGAGGGTGGACTGAAGAAGGGGGGGGAGGGGTGATACACTCTTCGTCTCCCGGTTGCCCGGGTCCCGGCGTGCCTCGTGGAGGCGGTGTTGGCCTATCCTTCTGTGAATTCGTTGGTGGGCGGAAGGGCCGGCTGGCCGAAAAATGGCGGAGTGGTCTTCGGGTGTAGTTTACCTTACGACCATCTGTGAAACGAAAAGAGACTCGCCTACCCGTTCTTATTTTGGGTCTGGGAGTGAGTTGAGGGAAAGGGGAATTTTCGGGAAGCTTTGGGGGGCTAATGGGTCGTTGGGAAAGGAGAAAATCACGGCTAAGTTTGGCTTGCTGAATGAAGCTGTACTCCATAGTGGGTTGAGGGTACTCAGTGTACTTGTGGGGAATTAGAAGATCTAGCTGTAATGTTGTTGTGTTCCCGTTTTTGATGTGTTGTAATTTGTTGCGGAGTAGCTGTTGCAGAAGCTCCCACTGGCTTATCCCATACTTGATAAGTGAACATATTGTAGAATGAACTACCAGAGAATCCATAAGGACAATGGGGAAAGAGGATCTAGTGGTTGAGGTGTAGTAAAAGACGCATAAGAAGGCGATGATAATGTAGGTGCATGAAGCTTGAAGGTGAGGATTGGTTGGGATTTTATTGGGTCTCTTTCGGCTTCTACGAACAACCCTCATATCCCACTGCAGGTCTTTAGCTGTGAGGGTTTGTTTGGCGACCTCTACAAACTCAGCGTGCGACCGCGATCGTGCAACACCCGGGGCACCCAAAAACCTGGAAACTCTGAAAGGGTAAAGTCTTATCATATGGGGGGCGGGGTGGTTGTGGGTGGAAGGCCTGCTCAACCCCTGACTTAAAACATCTCGAAGCAATTCCTTTAAGAAAGTTTCAAATGCGAAGTTGCCTTCGAGGAGTACCTTGAAATTGTGGGGGAGCGGCGCAGTAGCCAGGAGATAAAAAGAGGTACGTACCTCCCTGGCTAGATCGCGAATTCGAGCCGGAACCCTTCAGGCCGTGGGGGCCGTGAGAAGCGGAGTAGCCGCAACCGGGGCTCCGGAAAAAGTAGCCTGGCGGTAGTCGCCGCATTTGCGGCTGTTTTCGCCAAACTTATCACAATACTCATCCCAAACGTAGGCCACTTGGGACACCAGTCTGATCTCGAGGTCGATCGGGTACGGCATCGAGCTGGCGGAGTAGATCATCGGGGCCGTCCAGTGACGGGACCCCTTTCCAGCAAGCATCCCCTTGCCCGTGCCCTTTGCTGCAGCCTTGGCGTTGGCGAAGTGGTCGCGCTCTGCTGCATCCATCTCCTGCTGGACCCCGAAGACGATCTTGTTCCAGCTGTAGGACCAAATCGTGTCCTCCTCTGTCATCAACTCATCGGGCGGAGTGGTTGCAAGCCAGTCGGAGATGACCTTTGTGATCTCGAGGATGCCTTTGAACTGCTCCCCCTCGGCGTAGTAGTGGAGGCGAGCGCAGGCGGTGGCTTGCTCATCAAAACCGCGCGCCAGTTGGGGCGACATCACCGTGAGCGTCTTCCACAAGATCACCACCTGGCGGGGCTCGGTCTCCTCCTTGAGGTTGAGGGCTTGGAGGAGTACTCGGATTGGAATTTCCAACTTTCGTTGGAATTGGGGGCTCGAAGGTGTAGCCCTGATATGGTGGCGGGGTACTGGAGTGCGCGCATCCTTGTACAGTGGGGTACCCTGAGTGCCACCATATGCCTCCATGAACGCCTTTCTCAGGTCCCAGGATTTGAAGCTGAGTAGCGTTACCGAGCTCCACTTCTGTGCCCCTGCCGGCGGAGTAGACGGGTCTGCCGAGAGGACATTGAGGTACTTGTACTCGCCGTCGAAGTTGGCCCACCCCCTCTGCTGCAAGAAGGCCTGGACGTGGGTGATCTGCTCGAGCATCCAATTGACCATGAAGAGCCGTTCGGAGGGCGACATGCTCGTATCCCAGCCGGTCAAAATGACCATGAGTGCAGCACTTTGCTTTTGGAGGGCTCTGTTCTCTGAAGCCATCCAGGCTAACTCCTTGGATTGGCGTAGTAGTCTATCGTCCAGCGAGACCAATGCTGCCTCAACTTGGTTGATCAAATTGTAGAGTTCAGGACGGATCACGGCGGTGTGGTAATGCCGGATGGTGTCCAGGACTTGCGCCCTGGTGGAAATCGTTTCCTTCATCCATAGGGCCATATCTGTCGGGTTGTTTGCGTTGACACCGGCGGAGTGGGCTGTGGCTACAAAGGCCGTCTCCTGCTGGTAGTGCATGGGCTGGAAAAGACCAGTGTCTTGCTTTGCCGGCGGAGTACTCCCTGAGGCGGTTGGAGCCGTTGGGCCAAAGGTGTCTCCGGTTGGGGTGGCCAGCCCCGTTGAGGAAAAGGCCGGTGTCGGGGGGCCGCGCTTGGCAACCCTGCGCTGCTCGAAGAACAACTGCTGTGAGGCGGCGTACGCTGGGCCCTGTACCAAGGTGGCCTGCTCGCTGTAAACGCGCCTGGCCTCCATGAGGCTCTCTGCGGCCCCTGTGCCATCCGTCATGGCTCGAAACTGGGGTGGCGTAGTAGCCCTTGAGGCTACAAGGCAAAACCCCGAAAAAAAGGCCGCGGCTGAAACCATCATGCGAAGTGGTCCCTGCCTGGCAGAAAATTGACTGTGCAAACTGAAAGCGAAACCCACCATGTCTTGCAGCGAAGGCTGAAAGCCGATACGCCTAGGGCTTAGGGTTTAGGGTTTAGGGTTTGGGGTTTGGGGTTTGGGGATTGGCATTTTGGGGATTACAGCTCGGGGATTTAGGATTTATGAGGGACGGGCTTTGGGGCTGTTAGGGTCTTAGGATTCCTAAACCCTGAAGCCCTAAACCCTAAACCCTAAACCCCAAAGCCCGAAACCCTAAATCCTAAAACCGGCAGTCTGTCCGGCCTTGGACATGGACACTTTCGCTGCCGCCGGCTTTGCCTGTCATGCAGGAAAATTCCGTGTGGCTTTTTTCGGCTTGGGCAGGGGTGGAAAGCCCTAAGCCCTAAGCGCTAAGCCCTAAACCCTAAACCCTACGCCCTAACCCTAAACCCTAAACCCTAAACCCAAAACCGACTCCTGGAAACCTACCGAGCTTAGGAAGCTGGGGAATTCGTGGCTCTCGGGCTCCAAGGGTGGGCAATTCAAGCCCGGGTTTGTTCTTCGACAGGGGCGCGCCTGCTAGGGGGTTTAGGGTTTGGGTTTTAGGGTTTCGGGTTTAGGGTTCAGAGTTTAGGGTTTAGGATCTTGGGTTTAGGGTTTAGGGTTCAGGGTTTCGGGGTTTAGGGTTTGGGCTCAGGGTACAGCATCTCAAGTCAAAGCATTCGCTAGTCAGGCAACAGTAATCAACAATTTCACTTTAGGCTGCTCTCCTGCCGAGTCAAGCATCAGGGTTTAGGGTTTAGGGTTTAGGGTTTAGGGTTTAGGGTTTACTCATCTGCCCATGCGCTTGCAAGCAGCACCATCCGCTTCTGCAGGTCTGGCGTGGTACGCGCGGAACCACCACGAGTACACGTAGTACCAGAGTACCAGAGCGCGCGCATCAGAGTCTCAGGCACAGACTGCTTGATGGAGCTCCAGCTCTGGTCCACAAGGCCTGAGTTGACTCTGACTCGCCCATGCCCTCGCGCAGATTCTGATCCGCTCCACATAGAACTCCTCGAGCCAGCTTGCATCCTCTTCGCTCAGTGGACCCCTAAACCCCAAGATCAGTAGGCCCGAAAACCCTAAGCCCTGAACCCTGAAAGCCCAAGGGCCAGCAACGTACCCCTAAAGGCGCAGTAGGCCGCAGGCCCTAAACCCTAAAGCCCAAAACCCAGTAGCCCCGAAACCCTAAAGCCCGATTGCTTGGACAATGCCCGCGCAACGCCCCCGAGGATGTGGACAACGCCCGCGAAGATTTGAAGAATCCCCGTGAAATTTTGGATCAATGCCCACGGAAAATTTGGAGAATGCCGGTTAAACTTTGGATACTGCCCTTGAAAGTTTGGAACATGCCCGCGAAAATTTGGAGAATGCCCCCCGAATGGTTGAAGCTTAAAATATACATAACAGAGAGGCTTGGGGTTTAGGGATTGGGGCCCACCTCTTCCCCCACCCCAATTGGGCCCCAAGGTCCGCCCCTACGCCTCTGCTCCTGGGCCCTATGTACCCCTCATGTAAAACCTAGAGCCACCAGAACCTCAACCCTAAAGTTTATCCTAAGCCCCTTGAAACCCCCCAAGCCCAAACCCTGAACACCCTATCCCTACTCCCCTTACACCCCAGAACCCCACACCCCCACCCCTAAACCCCTCAATTTCTTGAGCCTCTAACCGCCTAATCCTGAAACCCCTCAACCCTAATCCCTAAAACCCCCAAACCCCAAACCTAAAACCCTAACCCTAAACCCTGAACCCTACAACCCTTATATAGCTAAAACACCCAAGCCCAAAACCCCCACGGCCCCTGAGGTCTGGGCCTTGGCCTTTGTCTTGGCTTTCGCCGTCGGCGCGGCGATGGCCGTTCCTGGAGGGAGATCGGTCTAGGAGGGCAGAGGGGGGCTGCAATGCAGGAGCCTGAATAAGTAAAATAGGGTTATCGGCGGTTATTATTATGGTTGTAGAGGGACCATTGGGTTCTGACAATGTGGCTTGAGTCCAGAGCACGCATACGCACCAAGGGGCGCGGTCGTCGTCCTCCAGCGACGGTAGCGTTGATCTGCGGCCCGTCAGTTGCTAGAAACAGATGCGGCAGACATTCGAGTTGACTTGTCCTAGACAACAAGCTTGCTCTGGAGCGCCAAATGAGTCTGGCAGACAAGACTGCTTTGATACAACGAGCGCCAACTTTGGCAGCTTCGTGCATCATCATGATGTCGAAAGATCGCTCTAACAACATTGATAGGCCGCTTTCCCGTAGCGGTGGCGGGTCCATCCATTTCTAAGCACCCGAATCTGGTCGACATCCGACGTCACGATCAATACGCGAGCGAGCACGACTAGCACGATTCAACGCTCGTACCCAAACCCTCTACAGGCCTAAGACCTCAAACCTTCAAACTCTGAAACCGTAAACCCGCAGCCTCGAAATCCCTAAACAGGGACTCCACCGTCCCCCTTTCACTGCAAGCCCCCATAATCTATCATACTCTTAGGGTAGTTACATGGCCCCATAGTCTGGGCCCGTTTAAGGGGACCCCTTATGAACCCTTTATATACGCTATACAAGGCAAGGGCCCACACTTCAGAACCCTTTAAAGGACGCAAGGGCCATAGCAAGGTCCCCCTGAAACCACCCTTACACATTATCCCTATAAAACCCCAGAAGCCCCATCAGCCTCAACCCAACAATGCACCCTATGAGATACCCTAGAACAAGCTCCAAAAACACACAATGAACCAAATTATGAATCCTCTGGGCCCGACGACAATCCCCAAAACAAAACAGTTTTAAGATCCTAGACCCTAAACCCTAAACCCGAAACCCGAGAAAGGGCCTGGCCTGCGCTTGCCAGGGCTCCTTTCACCCTGCCGGGCTTCGCCCCTGCGGCGCTCACGGCGGCACACTCCTGGCTTGCAGAGGACAAGGTTAGGGGTTTAGGGTTTAGAGTTTAGGGTTTTGGGTTTAGGGTTTAGAGTTTAGGGTTTAGAGTTTAGGGGTTAGGGTTTAGGGTTTAGGGTTTAGGGTTTAGGGTTTAGGGTTTAGGGTTTAGGGTCTAGGGTTTAGGGCAGTTTAGGGTTTAGGCTTTAGGATCTAGGGATTTTAAAGGGTCTAGGGGGGTTCAGGGTTTAGGGTTGGGGGTTTAGGGCTTAGGGCTTGGGGTTAAGGGTTTAGGGTTTAGGGCTTGGGAGTGCCTGGCCAGTAAGTGGCCTCTGGCCGTTTATCCCGATTCGCGGCAAACGCAAACCCTGACTCCCAAATACCACACTTCTCCTGGCGCCTTCCATAGCTCAATGACTTTCTGAGTTTTCAAGTATGTTCTTTTCACCTGAAAACCAAAAGAATGACCCCAAAAATGTCCTAAGTAAGGCAGACGAAGCCCCAAACCCTCGCTGAGTCCGCCTCAGCCCCGAACTCCCCAACCGTGAAGGCAAAACCCTAAACCCTAAACCCTCCACGACCTTAGATCCCCCAACCCGAAGTCCCCGACCAGCCTAACTACCCCTAATCCTCGAAGCCCTGCGTCACAACAACTCGCCCTTTCAAGCAGCGCCTGACAGCGGATCACACCATCGGAGGTCGAGAAGGACGCCTCCCCAACAAGGCGAAACTGGGTTATCAGGTTGGGTTTTCGGATTTAGGAGTTAGGGTTTTTGGGTGTGGTTTTGGGTCAGCGGAACGCCGCCATGTAAAGACAAGTCCACCCCAACACCACCCACACATACCGCCTCAAGGGCCCAGAAAGGGGTTTTAAAGGCCTCTGCATAATTCAAGGTATGGGCCTGGCCCACCCTAGACCCTCCAACAACTTGCAAGGATCTCCGCAGCTTTCAGACGGCAAGGCACGTTCCTCAATTTCGGTGTTGGTGATATGGGGGTCTACGAAGATAGGGGACCCCACATGTAGACGCCAAATAGTAAGGATACCCTTACAATCAGGACCCCAATAAGGTACTGGTACCCCCAATTTCGGAAACCCTAAACGCTAAACCCTAAACCCTGAACCCCAAACCCCAAACCCTAAACCCCAAACCTAAACCCTAAACCCTAAACCCTAAACCCTAAACCCTAAACCCTAAACCCTAAACCCTAAACCCTAAACCCTGCAGACAGAGGCTCTGCAGCTCCCGCTCGCTGGATGTGCAAACCTCGCCCGCCCGGTCAACTCCAGAATCCGAGGTCCAAGAAGACCCTATAACGCCTTTAAAAACAGTCGGGCTTAGGGGTTTACGGTGTAGAGTCTCGGGTGTAGGGCTTAGGGTTTAGGGTTTAGGGTTTAGGGTTCAGGGTTCAGGGTTTAGGGTTTAGGGTTTAGGGTTTAGGGTTTAGGGTTTAGGGCATAAACCTTTTACACCCTAGAACCCTAAAAGCACCGGAGTGCCCCCTGGATGCAGAGCTAGAGATGGAGGGTTCGGATTTGGTGTTTCGGGTTTCGGGGTGTTGGGGGCTTAGGGTTCTGGGTATAAGGTTTAGGGCTTAGGGCTTACGGTGTAGGAGCTTGGGTGGTTAGGGCTTCGGGGCTTGTGGGCTTCGTGTTGTCTCCTGCACCATAAACCACAAACCCGACCCCGAATGTCACCCTAGACCCCTAAACCCTGAACCCTAAACCCTAAACCCTAAAGCCTAAACCCTAAACCCTCAGCCCTAAGCCCTAAACCCCTAAACCCCTAAACCCCTAAACCCGAAACCCGAAGCCCGAAGCCCGAAGCCCGCCTTGCCGATGGACTTCTGGCAGCTGCTGCAAATCAGGCACTCAAGGTGCAGCTTGCCAAGAGAACCTTCGGGGGCGTAGACTCTTTAGGGCTTAGCTAGCGGTTTAGGGTTTAGGGTTTAGGCTTTAGGGTTTAGGGTTTAGGGCTTAGGGCTTAGGGTTTAGGGTTCAG